TCTATCTCTCTTTTGACAAGTGTCAGAGAATGGCACAGAAAAAGGATCATCAACCAGTCCTCTTGGGGAATACACCCTTTATCGATGAACCTTTTCGACGCGTCGCAATGGATTTGACAAGACCGACAAAACATGCGTCGGCACAAGGAAATATGTATATTTCATGCGGTTGTAGATTACGCTGCACGCTATCCGGAGGCTGTGGCGTCGCATAATATTGATACAGAAACCGTCGTTGAAGTGCTGCTAAGAAGAACGACTCCGTATCGGAGAAGGAATGACTCGGAATCATGTCTGGGATATCACGATTAGAAAGGTACTTGTACGGCTTGAAATTAACACTGGAAACGGACCACCAACACCTCCCATATCTGGCGCAGGTGAAATTATTGAATGGTTGCTAGATGCGATGGTCGCTGTTCTTACAGCAGTATCAGATGCAGATCAAATATTTAAAAGGATTTATAACGTAGGCACTGATTTCATGAGCAAGAGCGCTAAAACGACATAGACTGTTGTGTATATATTCGTGTTCGTAATCAGCGTATAGTGTCGTTATCACTTAGTTTCTTTTCTTGCATATAGTAAATCACAATTGCATTTGGGGCTATTTTGGGGGAAACAAACTCTCAATTCTCACGCGTGGGGGTGTCACGATTGCTAACCCTCAGCTATAAAGATATTTATAAGCTATAATTTATCTTTCTTGAGAATATTACCGCGGCCACGTGCTTGATGACTAATGATTTCCGCCAGCTGGTGTTGAACTCCTTCGCAAGGATATATGACCCATAAACTTGAAACGGCAAAGACGATAGATTGCACCATCTAAACAAAGGCTTATAGTTAACACATCTATTTGTTAAAGCTTAGTCCGAAGACCAAAAGGAAGCCCCTGGGTGAGCGGGGCGTGTTCTAATCCTTCCCCACGTTGACAGACAGCGAGAAAAACTTTGTCCCTAAGTTAGGTTGGATCGGTTCACAGTAATATCTAATCGGAATTCAGATAGCTGGTGTGATTACGTTTGTGACCCTAATGATACTTCAGACGTATAAGAGAAAATTTAGTTTTCGCCTTGAAGGGTTTGAGGATCAATAGGGTTTACTCTGAGAGAAGAGCCATTTTTAATTTGGATGCAAAACTTAGAGGTAGATTCTAAGGAAATAAAAATATCGCAAAGGTCATTATGTTATTTGCTCAATTATGGCATCATAGTTGTAATAATTTGTAGTATGTATACTTAATTACTAGAATCGTTTATTATTTAGAATTACATTTGAGGTGTTTCTTTTAAATGCGTATTTGAGAAATTAGCTTAAGCTTTACATAGAGAATTATTAGATGCGTGGCGGAATTATGTAGATTCTTAGCTTGTTTTCAGAATTTATTTTGTAATTCGCTATTAGGTTACTTCGCAGTAAACTAGTACATTTATTAATGCGTTATGATAGAATGTACTTGTATTTTAATTGTAAATTTGGAATGGCTGAAGTAAGATTAGTTACTAAGGAAGTATGCATATATTTGAATTTTTACATACTTTGTATGAGTTGTAAGGTAAAGAAATTCGTCTGATTATTGTGATACTGTTTAGTATAACGGAAATATAAATATGTACTGATGTGACGGATTAATTGATGTATGTATGAGAAGTAATTCATACCGTTCTATATTATGACGTTTGTTTTACCATTCAACAACTTATAGGTATCTCGATGTGAACGAATGCGTGACCGAATGAATTTAATAGCCGTTAGCTGATGATAGGCCGTGTGATGTGTGAGATGAGAGGGCTAAGGAAAAAGATTATACCGTCCTTATGTTTTCACAAGAAGCTTTTTAGGGGACACAGAATTTCGTGTTCCATTAGGTCCAGAGTCATCAAGAGTTACAGATTTGAGGCTGTAGCCGAGACAGTCAAAGTCAACAGAAGGGTAGTTGTGGTAGAGAAGTGGATGAGGAGGAAAAGGAGTCTAGAAAATTTCGAGGAGGAGAAGGAGTCTAGATAAAGTCGAGGAGTGAAGAGAAGGAAGTGGCAGAAATAAGATAGAGAAGGATACACCAGATGAGTATAAATTCAAGGACAGGTGGAAATTAATCACACTCTGCTAATCAAGTGTTGCAATAGGCTTATTAAAGTGTTGGACGGAAGGAGTGTAACGGGGGATTTGAGTCATTTGATTATTGAATTGTTATTAAATTGTTATTCGTTGAATTTCAACCTTTTTATATATTTAACCATCTAGCCGTCGGCATTGCTGACTGGAGGTTCGGAGCATTTCATGATTCTTTCACTAAATTTAACTTCCAACAAAATAAAGCCTGAGTGGGACTTATATAATAGTTTAAATAAAACATTGGAAGCACACCACCCCAACCATAACAATCCTCACAAAATACAATGACAGGTGGAAATCAATCTCACACTGCTATCAGGTGACCCAGTAGGCTTATTATAGGAACGAGCAGAAGTATTGCAATTCGAAATTTGAGTCATTTGATTTTTTAATTGTTATTAAATTGTTATTCATTACAATTCAGCCTTTTAATATATTTAACCATTGTTGACTGTGGGATCAGAGCTTTACATCTTCCTTTCACTAAATTTAACTTCTAACAAAATAGAGCCTGGGTGGGACTGCTATAATAGTTTCAATAAAATCTTGGGAGAACCCCACCCCAACCATCTAGTTCGTCACACAGAGATTATTTAATTTTGAATCATTAGATCAGTTTATATCCGCAGTTTTTATGCCTACCCATATGCTTTACTTCGAAAAATAGGCATAAAAAGAAATCCTCCCGAACAGTATGGTCAAGTGCGGTAACGACCTCAGTCTGGGAGAGACAAAAAGGTCACCGAAAATATTACTACCATATGTACTCGCTTATAAGTTGGCTCAAACTGCAACAACAAACATCGTGATCTGCAATAGCATAATTCGCCTGCAAATCAGGGTTCATGTTGTTTGTTCTACTAATTTAGTGGCAACAAACTACACAGAACTCAATCTACCGTCACATAATTCAACGGCAGATCTGGGTCTGGGCATTTGAAGTAGTCTTATAAGCTAATACAGACGGTAGATGTGAAAGTTATATAGTGCGGGAATGTAAAACATTTCTGTGTAGTGTATCCGAACGCAATACATAATTATTCCCCACAAATAGGCAACGACTCAAATCGAAACCCGTTTCTTTACATGTTTTCATTACAAATATATTATGACTTGGAAGAGCGGCAGTAAGATCGTCTTTACCTCAAACCAAAATTTATATACATTAAACAAAATATATATAACGTAAATGAGTTCAATAATTTAACAAATAATAATAAAAAAAATCTAAAAAAAAAATTATTTTTAATGCACATAACATTAATATCATTTTTCTTTGTGTTTCCTATCAGATCACAAAATATGATCACATGAACATTTTTTCAACATTTTAAGTCATCGAATGCAATTAGTCAAATTTTCTTATAAGAAATTGTAATTTGAAATAAGTGTGTATGTTTTATTATGAAGAAAAAAAAAAGTTTTAAATGGAATACTTTTACCACCTTAGTCTGTCATTATTTAATGTTGACATCAACAAATTAGTGCTACAATAAATAAATATAAATAAACAAATAAATAAAATAAGTATGAAACGCGATCAACACACACATCTTGTTTTAGTCGCCATCGTGTTGATACTTCTCTAGTTCCCGATCGTAACTGACTTTCTACCGTGGATTGTTCTGTATCAGTGACCATGGCAAGAAAATGGGTAATTATCCCGGAAAAGATTTTGTTCGCGAGCGCTTTAAAACTGGACGCTCGCTAATGGCTTCGAAAGGATATAGAATCAACTCGCGGCATAGATAAAAGAAGGCGTCAGCTACAGTATCAGTTGTGTTAGTCAACAGGGAACCTACAACATCCTACTTGTATATCAAGGTAAGTGACTTTGATCGAAATTTGGAGGGGCGTAGAGAAAGTCGTGTAATTTTATTTAATTTCGTACTAAATATATTTTCTACTGTTCTGAATTATGTTATTTGTATTTAATTTTAGTTTATATATATATATATATATATATATATATATATATATATATATATATATATATATATATATATATATATATATATATATATATATATATATATATTTCACCCAACCTGAAATTACATTATTATCTCTCGAGGACGAACAGATGCAGACGACGGCGATATGACGATAGATATACAGAGAGAGAGAGAGAGAGAGAGAGAGAGAGAGAGAGAGAGAGAGAGAGAGAGAGAGAGAGAGAGAGAGAGAGAGAGAGAGAGAGAGAGAGAGAGAGAGAGATTAAAAATTGCCGTTGAATAAGCAAGAAACTGCACTACACAAAAGGATCATATTTTATGTATTCTCTAGAAAATGAACTGGTTCAAAAATTCCTATTTCCTATTAAGGAGAAAAATAAATTATCCAATTACGCGAAACATTCCACTTTTTATACTTCTAGAGTAGATGAAAAAAAGACTCTCTTATTATAAATGTATTAATTTGGTTACAATTTTATGCTTAAAAAACTTGGCAATAGAATAATGGTTAATACGTATTTTAAATTATCGTACATTTTATTGTCGCTGAAAAAATTGAATCTTTTGATTGCATGTATGCCAACGACCTTAGATTCAAATCTGTATCTTTTACGATGCAATACAGTCTTATGTGTAATTTTCAGAAATTTTAAGTTATTATCTAAATTTGATTTCATTTGATAATTATACATCTAGATCCAATTACTGAATAAATACCTCATTCAGCGAAAGTGAAAAGATTGGCTGCCATGACATTACTTGATTTTATTATCTTTCTATTAGCAAATAAATGATTCCATTGGATTCATATTGATAAAAAAAGAAAAATATCTTGGTTTGCTGAAGAATTCGTTTCGTTATTTTTGCCACAATTCCGCTATGAATTTAATATTCACATCTAATGTTACAGATCTCTGAGGATCGCTCTGGTGGCCTAGTGGTTAGAGCGTCCACCTCGGATGCGGGAGGTCGTGGGTTCGAGCCCCTGCCGTATCATACTAAATACTTGAAAAATTGATATTAACAGCTGCCTCGCTTGGCGCTCGGCATTAAGAGATTAATTTTAGGACTGGTAGGCCTAGTGTCAGGATAATGTGCCTAGATGTTACCTGTCTGTGGCATGATGTTCCAGTGCTAGACACCACCATAAACTGCCACACTGCAGACATCATAGCGATATGACTGTAAATTATTAAAAGCTACGTTAAAAATCTAAATCACACACACACACACATCTCTAAGAGATAGAGATAACAAAAATATAATAATTTCTTTCCATCAAATATTTACTGGTCGTCAGTCATTTGGTGTTATTAACCGTATAGTTTTACTAGAGACTAAATTCTCAACTATTGCGTGAATGTATAATTTTTCATATGGGTTTTTACAGCAATAATTGTTATTTGTTTACAGTAAATAGAATAAAGTGAATTACTTGATTTTCGAAATGATGATATTTGGAATGTGATGTTAATTGTTAGTCAAACGGTTCAGTTTATCTAACAATTGAACACTTTAAATATATGAATGCAGGGTGATTTTAAAAGGCCTGCCAAAGCTGATCATGAAGAACCTTTTCTTATCACTTATTCACACAATGACTAGAATACACACAAGCATTATGTCTCAGCAAAAAGTACTGTTTTGAGTGTTTAGCGCGCCAGCAAAGCGAATTAGAATCGAACCATAGACCATATACACATTTTGCTTTGTATCATATCTATGTTTTTCTGGTTCCTATTATTATTGCTTTTTTTTATCAGCATTGTGTTGAACCGCACAAGTTTGAACAATATGACAGTTCTTAAACCAGCACACAATAAGTCAATACAAAACTACATGATCAGAAAGCATTTCATCTTTTAAATTGAGTGGTCACTGTATACTATATATTTTCTCGGTATTACAAGTACGCCGGTTTACCGAGATAATATTTTTTCGGGTAGAACATATCACGGTACTGTTTCATTGTACCGGTTCGCCAGTTTTCGTTAGCTAGAAATGTGCGGAAATTTCTAAGGAGTCTTTTCACTATGTTAATGACATTAACAGCATGTTTTAATTATTCCTAATAAAATAGTCTTAACAATCATCTTTATTCACAAAAGGGATGTACCTATCTCAAATTCGTGGTGAATATTACAAATACAATTATATTTATGAAACTTGAATCGAATGTCCGCTATGTGTCATGTAGAACAACACTGTGACCAATTGTAATGTTGTGAAACATATTCAGACCAAATCCAACTTCAAATTTCGGATTTAAACAAAGCATAAAACACTCTTAAAAACATGTCATGCTTTAGTTATTTACTAGCATATGTTATTGTATTAAGTAAATCTATTTCTTTGTAAGACTCTAAATGATCCGACAATTTTCTGGATCGCACTTGTTTTCTGTCCGAATTTGAAGTAATTTCTCAAATACACTAAATAATTTCTCGTTTATTGAGTAATAACGTTTCATATGTAGAAGCAATTATCTTATATATATATATATATATATATATATATATATATATATATATATATATATATATATATATATATATATATATATATATATATATATATATATATATATTGCTTGAGTGTTACCACCACTCAAAATTTCCCGTATGAACAATGCAGCTGGAAGGTTGTAGGTTTCCTTTTATTATTAATATACTTTCTAAAGTCAGCACGAAGTCTTTCTCTTAAGCTTAATCATACCAATTTAGTTACAATGTTTATATAAAAACAGTTACCATACACATAGTAAAGTAATCTGCGTTAAGAAACTGGTCATTTAAGTTCGAGAAAGGAGCTGTGATTTTCTTTCAAGCTGAAATATTTTCTTGTGTTTTATCACAGATGCTTAATATTTTTCTCAAATAATATCTTGATTTTAATTTAGTACTATTATGCAAAAATCAGAGCAAGCTGTGTTGCAACTATTGACAGGCGGAAATTAAACAGAAATGTGTCAGGCTCCTGCTTCAACACATTGACTTATTGATCCCGAATGTAACTGACTGGTACGTATCTGCAATAAAATAATTTCGTGGTAACCATGTCTACTACCGACTACAGCCGATATCTTGAATTGAGTATTTGCGGTGAAATGTGTGTAAGAGAAATAATTTATTATTCTTCATCTCCTATTGATAAAATTTCCTTTTAGTTCTATTTCAACTTTCATATGAATTCATCATTAAGAGGTTAGTGTTACGACTGATCAGCCTGATGTCAGGATAAGGTAACAGGGTGGTACATCATGCTACATGTCTGCGGTATGATGCCCCAGTGCTAGACATGACTATAAACTGTCACAATGCAGACATCGTAGCGATATGACTGAAAATACGTTAAAAAGTCTAAATAACAACACAAGAAATTAATTTATCCGGGATATTTCTAATTACGAATAGTCTGCCTTGTTACTTAAATAAGCTATACTAGCCATCCGTTACCATAATTTCATCTGATCTCACTGCATATAACTTAAATGAGGCTCACAACTCCTTCTTGAACGCTCTATCCAGGACTCACGTGGCTAATTCAGTTCCCATAGTAAACTTATACAAACACCATGATATTAAAAATTTAAAATCCTAAAATTTCTGAGTGCCCATGATCAAACCTATATTTATCAGTATAAATGAAGCCTGGATATCAGCTTATGTGTAATGGAAAGGATATGAGCCGTGGCATTTTCTGGATCTACCTGTGTTTCAAACATTTGCTTTCAATTCCGCACCAAAGGGTCAGTTGCTAATTTTAGTAATAAGTGTTTCAAACTCGAGACTGTTAAAGGACTGAAATTAGATCAATACAGCAATGTATTTTTCTTCACTTACAACTAGGATTAACTCTCAAACAATCTTTATACTAAAGCATAACTTACATTATTAACCAACCCGGGCCACCCAAACCGTTATATACTGTATTTTATGTTCTCCCATTTCCACACTGGTTTCCATTTTTCCATACTATTAGTACCATGTGTCCTTCATGCATAGTCCTCTTTGAATTTGATATTCCTGCGTGGTCCCTCCACGTGGAATCAACACTTATTAAAAGTCAGGATTTCTTGTGTCATTGTAACACGCTCTTATACATTATGGATTAGGCAGAGGGTAAAGGTACTTGGTTTCACGTGTAAATTACTATAGATTCCCCAAACAATCGGCTTTCATACTGAACAAGCCAACCTCGTTTTGGCGGTACTGAATAGGTTATAATCAGTCAGTAAAATTGTTGGGAATTTTTTACATTTACAGAATGGCAGTCATGAACAATATGTCATGTTCTTTTGTTTCCTTCTTTTATTTTGTTTTGATGTGGGTTTTTTTCCTTCTAAATATTATGGAAACAATTGAATACGAATGCTAATATAGTAGATTTCCGGCAATCGTTTGAAGTTCTTAATTTTTATATAATTATTGTAATTAGGCGCTAAGAGTTTGGGAGTGTTCGTGCGCTATTCAGAAAGTATATGTTCATTTTGAATTGTATGTATGTATGTATGTATGTATGTATGTATGTATGTATGTATGTATGTATGTATGTATGTATGTATGTATGTATGTATGTATGTATGTATGTATGTATGTATGTATGTATGTATGTATGTGTATATACTACAAATTTTCGTACAGATAAAACGTAAAATAAGGAAAACAAATGTTTCCTATATTATTGCATCTAAATCGTCTATATCTAGCTAAAAGAAACACCAGTTCTCATGAGTGAGAATATATCATGACGTTCCAAGTAGGCGTTGTCGATGTTTTTCAGCTGAACATGGATATCACGAGAGTAGATAACGCAAAAAATGAAGATGTGTCAATTGACTAACAATGTGATGATTTACATACTGGATTTTTACTGATTAATTAAATAATAAGCTGATTTAGGTTTTGTGTAATAGCTACGCCCATGATGACATTAAAGATAACGGAATACAGTCAAATATAAGCAGGTCTAGTCGAATAGTGATATATGTTCATGATGATAATTAGATTGAAGATTGACATAGCGACATAATCTGCTTTAAAAAATAATAATTGTTTGTCTTCGACGAGACATTTCATAAGTAGATATAGTGAAAATATGGAATTTTTTCGAATGAGACAGCAAATCTGCCAATAAGTTTGGTGTTTTGTTTCACACGTATCTTTATGCATCATATGAATCAACATTTCAAATTCAAAAAAAAAAAAAACAAATAAGAAATTTTTTCATAACTTTTATAACTAAAACTTAAGCGTTTTGTTGTCTTATCACTATCCTGTTCGATTCTAGCTGGCCTAGATACAATGACTTCACACAAATTGCTATCCAAATTTATGAATCCTTTGAGCCACTCAGTTTTATTTTGCTGCATCTTCAAAACTATTAGGTGCACCTAATTACTATATTGTTTGTTTGCATTCTTAAGTGGAACGAATACTCGTATACGTTGACCCTACTTGTTCATGTACATAGAATTTTACTCGAGACTCAAAACATGTATTGATTCGATTTACATCAAGAGAATATTTATCCAGTAACATTGCTGGATTCTGGACTTGAATTCAAGTACAAGCCGTACTGTGATGGTAAAATCCTGTCCTGCCGGGATATTGTAGCACGTTTTGTAGTCTAAGTTTGTCACAGCTGTGTATACAAGCACATCCAGTTATAAGTGTTGATTATTACAATTCGCACTTACTAGTGAATACCGTAATGAAAAAATATTATAGATCCAGTATCGGGAGGCAATAATATCTTACCACTATCGGCTTTGTGATTCTAGCTCGGATACAATTGTCGAGATACAAAGAAAAGACTAGACCAACTGAAATGTGGAGATAGGTAAGCAATTCTCAGTGTTACGTAGGCCTAAGTGTTACCCTTAAAACAACAACAAAACACTTGCAAATTTGATCGTTGATCATGAACTCTTAGGTATTCTAGAACAGAGAATTGAGCCTCTGACCTCAAAGTTTCAAAGCAAAAACATATCTACCA